AAAGCAGAGTACACATTTGGATGAGCCAAACTTGTGATTGACTAGTCGCTACTTTACAAGCCTTGCAGTGTCTGCTCCAAAGCTGATTAGTTGTTCTGGAACAAAAAAAACCTCAGAGTTGCCGATTGCAGGGTTAACAAACTCAAAGTTAGACCCAGATCTACCTCTCACTCAGTGCTTCCTATTTCTAAATACCAAGACATCAGTGCTTGAAACACTGTGCTTCAGACAGCACAGTGGGATCTTACTCCTCAGCTGGTTGTAAGTCCCGGGTTTATACTTTTTTTTTTTTTTTTTAGGCATTCCACATAATTGTATGTAAACGTTTAAGACTAGGCTAAAAAGAACACACAAACACATGGTAATTTATCATCCAATTATATTTATTCCACAGTACAGAGGATAATGGTGAGTGCTGAACACATACTGTATGAACAAGGACACATCTGTACCTACTGAAAATGTGAGTCTAAATCACTTGGAAAAGTAATTCTGGTGTCCCTAATTAAGTACATGTGGCATCTTAGTTACTGGCTGTCGGTGTCATGGATCAAAGAATCAGTTAAAACATATAAAATGGGTAATGACAATCTATGCAACAGCTAACATGGCGCAGAGAAGTACTATTTTATGCCACCCTTTCCTAGCAAATATAAGCAGCATATAAACATTTAACGATGCAATAATGTAACTGTAAGCAGATACAAAGTGTTTGTCTATTCCTGGAATTATAAAAAAAAAAAAAAAGTAAAACAAATGGAAATCACACATAAAGCAAGAATTAATGATGCAGTAATGGTTACAGGGCAATTAAAATTGCTACAAATATAATAAATCAATGTGTAGAGCTACATTTTAATGTGTTATAAACCATTAAGTGTTTATAGTGGTGCTTATAAAAACTAGATGATGTTAAAATAAATTTTGTGCATGTGACTCTAATCCCATACTATGCATATATTGACAGTGTATATTAATTATTGCCACTATACACTTTGTCACGGTCCTACAGCATCTGTGGCATTATATTTCAGATGTGTACATACAAAATATGATATGGTGCTAAAGCTGGACATCAATAAATTGTCAGTCCCACTTTCTAATAAGAAGCCTTTTCTAAAAGATTTATTCATTTAAAGATATTAATCAAAACCGACTTTTATTTGGCAGCTTTGTTTCACTTATAATGGCTTTTAAAAACATTTGTAATCCTATTATAAATACTAAATAGTCATCAATTAAGAACTTTAATCAGTAGGCATGCTTTCCTTTTACATGACTGTACGTCTTCAGTACAATACATACATGTTTCAGGTATGAGTTTACAGAAGTCATTACAAATACTTTTATTAGCTTTAGAAAATGTAGGAAGGTTTTAAACACATGAATTTTCAATAAGTGCCAAATAATTAGTTTGCTAAAATGCTGTTCATAGAAGCAACAGTGGGTGCTAACGTTTTTCACAGTGTCAGCATTAAAGCTAAACTGAGCAGTCATCTCATAGACTGAAATAAAAAGTGGTCTCTTTGGACTAACATGTCCAGTGACTTATTCAGCATACAATAATGTTTACCCTTTCACAAAGGGTGTGTTATTAGAAAGTGAAACCACAAACTAATAATGCACTTTTTAAAACTAAAGATGTAGGTCTCTATATTTAATCATTCTTATCCCAAAGTGGCAATAATTGTGATTACAGGAAATATATTCTGCTGTTTGTTTTTGTTTTTATATGTAAGTGTTCAGTTTAATTGTAAGGACATAGTGGAGAAGAGTTCATTTATTATTCTTACCAGTGTAGGTTATGTAATTTTAAGTCGGATTAGACAAAATGCAACAGTTTGTTAAATATTGTTTTCTGTTAAGGGCTTTTACTTTTCCATGCATCTACTGCTGCCTGAGAAAAATGTCTCGAGTTATATTGCAAAGGTTTTGTAAAATACTCCAGCTTGAAAAATAGGTATAATAGTCCTATAAAACATACTTGACTGTTGTAAGAGACAGCAGATGTCTACAGCAGCTCAAATACAAACAGTTTTCACATGGTGTGAAAAAGCTGCACGTGGTGTATGGACGTGTATGCTTTCAGACTGCATGTAGATTGAATTGTGGTAGATTGTGCCCCTGCTGTGATGTGAAGAATAATATTGCACTGGTAGGAACATAAAAGCTTCCTGTGTTGGTCCATAGCCTCAATGACTGCCAAAATGACAAATAAAATGCTACATATTTCCGTTATAGTTCACCTGAAATTTCCAGAGTAACGCCATGAACCTTAAATAAATAAATAAACCTCGACCCTATATTTCCTACATATATATCTTTACAGTATGTACAGTGACACATCCTTGGCTCCTGAACAGTGTCAGAATCCAGACGGACAGACATTCAACTCAGCAGCCAAAATGGCCAAATGGGAAAAAGTGTTCTCCAGGACTTCTTTCAGTCTAGCATATTGTCCAAGGTTTTGGCAGCACGCTCAGACTCTGTTCTACAAGGTCAAAACATTTTGCCCATTTTTTTTTTCACATGCAACATTCAATTTAATATTATGTAGTCAGCAAATCAAAATCCAGTCAAAGCATTAAGACGTTTACTCTCAGTACACACTTCCCCTTCTTACGAAAGGCTGGATACAGTGTTCATCAGAGGTTTTCAAACTATGACAACCTCCCATCTGTGTCAGGTGGATTGTACAGGTGCACAGAGGTGTTTGAGAGCAACAGGAAGCACTAGTTGTCTTTTTTGGCCCTTTAATTTCCAAGTTAAAAATGAGTGGATCTATGTGATATATGTATCTTTAGATTCAATGGGCCATAGACTTTCAGAAGACATTGCTATATCCAGTACCCATGAC